TTTACTGATTTTGGTGATCAAATCGAAAACCGGCAAGAAAGATGCAATCATGGCATATCATGAAAAGTTAGTGGAAAAACTTTTTTTGACTTTTGAGGTGCTGTGTTTGTATCATATCAATAAATTAAAGTTTATGTAACTAGTTAAAATAGATTTATAAATTAAATGAGAGGTCTAAATTCTTAACAGACCTCAAAAAATAGATTTATAAAGGAAAGTAAGTTTATTAAATGAGAGGTCTAAATTAAAATTAGTTTTATTCTTTTTTTTTCCTTTTTAAAATGTGTAATATAAGGTGTGAGGTTGTGATTCATCAAAAGAAAAAAAAAAAAAGGTGTGAGATTGTGAGAGAGTCACGTGTAAATTCTACATCAGTTTTATTTTATAAAAGAAATTAGGATTGGGGATTTTTTTAAAAAAATCGCATGCAATGTGGCTAATTAACATTTTCCACATCAACAAATTGTTGAATATTTATCAAGAATTAAGAATAATTAGATAAATTGTTGAAAGAAAACGAATATAGGATTGAATTTGTTAATAATTGAGAGCAGTTGACGAACATAAAGTTGAATTAATCAAATTATTTGCATAAAATTTAACTTGCTGATTTAATATAAATACAAGATTTTAAAATGGAGTTATTCACATACCGATGAAATTAAATGACAAATATCGTCAACAGACTTATATTATTGATTTATTTTATTTTATATTTACGTAGTCAAATTCTCGGTTATATAAATTAAAAAATAATCTTTTTCGTTATATAATAATTAAATAAACTAAAATTATTAGAATTGGAACATGTTTGGATCTTTGACCAAATAATTTTTTTAAAGTAAAAGGAAAGCACTGGACGACTACTACTAAAATAGATTATTCATACTTGACCAAATTGGTTCCATTATCGTTGTCATCCACAACTCCAATCCTCGTATATATTCTGGATGCTATGAACTTCACGTGTTAATCCTCCACGTGTCGGTCCATAGTGTCTCTCGAAATCCTTAATGAAAAGGAGAATCACACCCTTAAATATTTTATGCAGTAAATTATAAATTAGTCTTTCTATTTTTTAAAAAAAATTGATCAGTCCTTTATATTTTAAAAATTAAAATTTTATTTTTTTAACTAGTGCTATCCATATTTAATTTAATATTATTTTATTTAAAAAAATGTCATTTTTTCATCCATCATTCTATATTTTTACCTTTTCTACTTCTAAAAAATAAAATAAAATAAAATTCATTCCATATATTTTACTTTTTTTTCTTTTTTCTACTTCTTAAAAAATTAAAATAAATTAAACAAAAAATTTTAAAATATAAAACTAAATAATTCGTTTTTATTTGATTTTTAAAAGACTAATTTATAATATATTCATATTCTATGTACTACTAATAATTGAATATATATATTAAAATCATTAAATGACAGTGCTTAAGATTTTCTTTTATACGACCGTACAGTGTTTCGCTATTGTTTATGACATGGTTTCTTCTTGAAGGAAAAAGGTTTATAATTTATTGAATTTATCTATGCTGCATGATGAGAAAATATATTTCTTTTATTTTCCAACCTCTTTTCTATTAGAATGGTTGGTGTGGGTATGCCCTGTAAAAATTGCTATAATATCTTTTAAAATTTTAAATTTTGAATTTTGGATTAGTATTCAAATTTCAATATTAATATCTATGTTACTTTAGTTATGGATGAGAGGTTCGAACCTGAGATTTTATTTAGACGTAGAGTGGCATGAATACGAATTGAACTACACTCTTGGCTCAAGATTTTATATTTAAGGGACTGATTTGAAATAAAAGTTCACACATGAAGGACTAATTTGTATCTAACACCAACTTAAGTTTTTTCGTTCAGACAAACAAGGTTCTTTAGTCAGCATGAGGAAAACCATGTTCTCCCTAGTTATGACAAGCCGTCGTCCATGACGAACACCCACAAGCGAAGACTCCTGCGACGCTAAACATTGTTTCTCTGACAGCACATTCCTACGTGTCAACGATGGGCCAGACAGGTCACTTTCGAAGTGGTGGTTTGTCTACAGATCGACACGTGTGTTACGGCTTCGTAATTCCAGGATAGACAGACAAAAAAGATTTTGAAAAAAGAGAAACGCTTTGTGGGCCATCCTAGTACCTTCTATCTATGCGTGGAAACCTGGTATTAGTCCACTTGTAAGATTTTTAGTACTGGGACCACCATTTGTCAAGTTTGGTGACACGTGTGGTTCTGTGTCCCTAAAAAAATTCAAAATATCGTGATATATAGCCGATTTCATTTCTGGTTGGCAGAGAAAAGAGATGGGATTAAAATAAGCTCGGCTTATTAGGAATTCTTGTCAGAAAAAAAGTGATATTTACTTATTTCTTTTAATTATTTTTATATGAAAACCAATAAAAAATAATTTTATTGATGAATAGAGCATCGAATATAAAAATCCTCTAAAATAGATGCAGAGATGAGGAAAGGTAAAAAATAAAGTTTTAGATATATTAAAAAAGTAGTAGTTATCGATATGTATAATTTTTACATTCCAGCCTGTCATAATTTCCCACGATCTACTCTTAATGATCTTCAAATTTCAAAGTAATTGCTTCCACCAACTCAAGATATCTTGCAATGATATTCTAACTATCGTTGCTTTTGTATCTTGATTGGATTACAAAATTAATCATGATTAATTGATGGAAGGGACCTATGATAGAGAAATCTTATAGTATTTAAAGAATAATTAATGCAAATGTATAATAATTACTATATGAATTTACATTTCGGAAGAGATATAGACGCATAAAAAAGAGAATCACATTTGAACCTATCAAAAATGATAAAAAAATTTCTATATCAGCTCAAAATTTTTTTTTTAATTTTCTCTCTCTTATTTCTCTCTCCTTTTTTGTATTTATCTCTCTATATGGAATAACTTACACTAGTTACTCCTTAAGTAATATAAAATTTCTCTTTATCATATTAATTGAAACTTGACCATAATTGTTTATCGGCTTTATCATTTTGATCCCAAATTATTTTTTAAAAAATATTGTGGAGCAATTCTGTTGAAGAAATCGACCATAATTTTTCCAAACAATTAAGTTATAGAAGTAACATTAAATAAAATTTTCTTAAATAAGTTATAGAAGAAACACTAAAGAAAACCGTTCGAAATAGAATAAAACAAAACTTTTTAATAAAATACAAGAATCAAGTGGTCGCTTTATTCTTAAGAGAACTTAGGAAAAAATCGTTTTAATCATCACAATAAGTTAAATTTTAGGAAAAAAATAAATTATCATAATTAGAAAGAGAGAGAAATAAATCGAGTAAAATGAAAAAATATACAATTAAAAATAAAAATGACAAAGATGGTGTTGAAAATTTTATGGAATCCAAAAAGAAAAATCTCCTAACAAAAGGAGAGGAAATTGTCTCTTATTAGAGAGAGAGAAGAGACCATATGTATTTTTTCACTTACTTGACATATCTTTATGCACTCAAATCACATGATTATCAGATAATTATATATGATGAGGTTGTAAAATATTGAAGGATAACGTGACTTTGTCATAATTGGTGTAATGGTAGTATTTGCTGATTGATGGCAATAGTAATGATTGTAATATTTGTAAAATAAATCTTTCTAATCAGGTGAATGACTCTTTGATAATTAAATTAGTCTATGAAGAAGAATGATGGTTTGAAAATGCAAGTATAAAAATAAATAAATAGTATTAAAAGAGTTAAGAATTGTTAATCTTAAATTTTGTGTCTCGTTTGTATAGCTATTAAGAGCATCTCCAATGCTCTATTTATATTAAGATTTTTCTTTACAATAAAGAGGTTTGACCTAAATTTCGTCTCTAATGCTCCATTTATTACAATCTTTATCTTTAAAATTGAGATCCAGAATATTTTTAACTCTCCAATATTAGAAAATTCAAATAACTCTTTATCTTATATTTTATTAATGAAAATTACTCGTTTCTTATGCTACTCAACCTCTTCACCAATAGTCTCCCTAGATTTTATGAATTTTGTCAAAATGAAGAGTTAAAATAGAGAGTAGCATTGGAAAGAACATTAATTTTCGATCTATATAATTAATGATGTTCTCTATTTATATTAAAAATGCTAGCTAAAAGTAGAAAGCACCATTGAAGATGCTCTAAGGCTACCAAGTTGCATGAAAAAAGAAAGTAAAACAGTTTATTCATTTGTCGTTAACAATATCTTATTTTGATAAAAAAAAAATCTCTAATATCAATGAGTGATTGTTAAATAAATATAACTACATCATGATTGTTGCTGTGGATATAAATAATACCAAAGGCGCACATTTAATGAGTTTATTATCTATCTTTTTTGAAGATAGGTTTTGACTAATAAAAAATTATCACAAAATTGAATTAAGAATTTATGTTAATAAAAAATCATAATTTTGAATTATTAACTTATTAACTAATTTATACTACCTCAATTCTTCATAAACCTTAGTTTTATTTTTTTATTTTTGCTGAACTTACCTCTCAATTAATTTATTTTTATCATAAAGCACTTACCAAGAATAACTTAATTTAAAAATTTAAAATTATTTTTCATAAGTCATAAAGTTATCCATGATTTGAATGCTATTTTATTGATTATTGTCCACACGGCGATTGTGGAAAAAGAAAAAGAAAAAGAAAGATGGAGCGTCAGGGTGTACACGTGGAAGAAGGGCAGCAAATAATAGTAAGTGAAGGGGCAACTTTGAGCTGGCGTGCCTTTCATGCTCACACCGTTACACGAGAAATAGAGGAAACACAGCACGTTGCCGTTTCATTCTTCCCCTCATCCTCATACGCTTCTTTTAAAAAAAATAAATAAAAGCACTCTCTATTTTAAACCTCTCTCTCACTCTTTTTTCTCTCTGTTTGTCAATGTCAAACGGAGATGACTGTTAACCGGAACGGAATTCAATGACGGAAGTTTACGGAAGAATGTTAAACAACGATGGAGACGATTCACCTGCCAAATGCAGGGAGCGCCGAAGAAGGAGAATCGAGATGAGGCGTCTCGCCGCTATCTCCACCACTGGTAATTCTTCTCAGCCGACTGATACTCAGACTCCAAAGGAGAAGAACCAGGCAGCGGCGACGGCAGAGAGCTCGAGTTCAACCACAGAAGGAAAGCGGGTTGTTGAGGTGGCGAGTGAAATTCCGGCGGCGGAGCCTGTGTTTGGAAGCATGTCAGTGTCGGGGAGGTCACGTGAGATGGAGGATGCGATTTCTGTTCAGACCAGCTTTTGCCAGCCGGTGATTAACCGCCGGAGGCCGGTGCATTTGTTTGGTGTTTTTGACGGTCATGGCGGTCATCACGTAATCACTGAAAGACGCTGTTCAATTTTGTTTCGGGAGGGGTGGTTTCGTCATTTAAAAATATTCGTTTTTAATTTATGTATGTATAAATTTTTTTTTCCTTTTTTGCGCAGGTGGCAGCATTATGCAGGGAACGGATGCACGTGTTAATAGAGGAAGAACTGGCACGCGTGGACTCAACGCCGCCGCTTGCGAGTGGGGATTTTGGGCCGGAATGGGAGGAAATGTGGAGGGGAGTGATGAAGAGGAGCTATGTGAGGATGGATGAGGTGGCGATGGGCATGTGTGCATGTGGGAGTGAGGGGTTCCAATGTGGGTGCCACCCTATGCAGATGGTGCTTGGCGGGTCTACCGCGGTGGTGGCTGTGCTAACCCCGGAGCATATAATTGTTGCTAATTGTGGTGACTCACGCGCCGTCCTATCACGTGGCCGGAGGACCATTCCCCTTACTGTGGATCATAAGGTTAGTTTTAGTCGGAAAATGTTATTATGGGTATCTAAAATGCATGTATGAGCTCACCAGTCCGGCCGCTACTGGTCACGGTGACAGTACAAAATTTGTCGTTTTTTCAAATGGGATGGCATGTTTCTGATGACGTGAAACACAGGGGTCTGCCACCTTGCCAAACAGTACCTGTTGTAGAGACCAGGTGGCATTTTGTTTTACCAGTTGGCCGCTGGGTAAATCTCTTAGACGATGGTCTTTAGACGAGGTGTCTGTGTTTCCTCGTGGAAAGTTGTGCTCTTGTACTACTATGTTTATAGTCTTGACATTTGGCAAGCATGAAGCAACTAGTTATGTTGTTCCGTTCTTGTTAGAATAATCCTTTGACTGTTTGGACTTACATAAGCAACTGCAGTTGTTTATGAATGAAAGGCATTCAAATGCTCATGTTCCATCTGTCATGGTGGAAGTTCCAATACTTGGCAAGGCAACTTCCCATCTGCATTATATTTTTTCTAAGCAGGATTTTTTATTTTCTTCTTTTGGGTTTAGCTCCTGTTCGGTTATAACAGGATTGGAAATGAAATGAAAATAAGACTCCAATCTAATTTCATATGGATTTTACATCTTAATTTAATCTGAAGTAGAATTTTCTTGTAATAGTCCAAATGCCGCCCCAAAGTAGGATTTAGTTCTTCAACCTAATATAATTATTATCTTGTTATCTGAAACTTAATTCATATTAAACCAGTCCATCAGTAATACCACTACCTAGACATTTCATCAATTTTTTCCAATGGATAAAAAAAATTCTTGATTCGTCTTGAGATTTAAAAGCATTGAAAATTTGAGTTGTCCTCCCTGTCTTTTTTGGCATGATTTGACTTGCGCTCCCTTTTATCTTTTTGGTGGTGCTTTAATTTGATTAATTAATAAAAGAAATTGCCCAACATTTGTTGCAGCCGGATAGGCCAGACGAGCTTGCAAGAATTGAAGCTGTAGGAGGCCGAGTGATCTTCCTGAATGGAGCTCGAGTTGAAGGCATTCTTGCTATGTCTCGAGCAATAGGTAATTTATTCTAGGTTCAAGCGTATCATCATCCTTTTTGTTCCAGTGCTGCGACCTGTCAACCTCATGTGATGTATAAACCTAAAGAACTAAATTGTTTTTATTGTTTCCTCAAACTCATATATAGAACTCGTTATTGGGATTAGATGCTTTAATTTTATTACATGACAATGAACACAGAAAACACAGTCACATTAGTAGATTAGTTTTCATTCTTACACAAACTATTCTTAGTCCTTTTGTTTGCAGAGTTGGATGTGCATCCATGATGAACATGCCTCACTTTATGATCTTAAATATCCTTGTATTAAATCTTTTCCAATTTCACCAATGCAAATACAATGGAATAAAGTTTGAGTTATAACTTCTGCATTTGGAAAATTCAATATATTTCTCTGAGCACATGATTGTTCTTTTATTGCTCTAATGTTGACTATTTTTCCGTTTATAAGTTTTCTCAGGGATAAGTAAGCAATGTTCTGCTTTAACCTTTGGTGGGTCATTGATACCCTGAAGATTAGAAAGGAAAGAAATATGATTGCATCCCTTTGGAGGTTTTGGTATCGATAGATTTTTGAAATTTATTGACCTGATATGGATGTATGTTTACATTATTATATTTTCCAGTCTATGAATATTTGCTGAATTCATCTGGCGAAATGAGTAGTCTATGCTTGTTATATCCATGATTTATGGGCTCTAGGTTAGATGAATGGGTTAATTACTGATAAGAGACTGAAATCATGAATTTAATTCATCCATTAAGCTCTTATTGTATCAAAAACACTTGTTTTGAAAAAAACAAGCAAAAAGTTTGTTGAGTACTTGTGTTTTTTTTTTTTAATTTTCGTATAGGTTCATTCATATAATTAGCAAAGGAAGCACAAGGACATTCATTCTTTCAACAGTTGTTGTTGGAAATCTAGAATAAATTAATATCCATGAATGGTTGTTCACTTGGTGCATATTGGATGCTTGAGAGCCAATAGACAATACTGATGGATAGTGCGGTGTTTAACAATCTTAAAGAAAAAAAAATCTATTAATTTCCTGTGGTGCAAAATATCGGTTCATCCACTAGAGTAGAAGAATGGTGCAAAATAAAAGAATTCTATTTGCAAGAGAAACTTTTTTATGATTCATCAGTTATATTTGAAGCGATGTTGCAGTGATTTATGAGATTTTGCGTATGCCATTCAAATGTGGATTGGTTGCTGACCTGACGTTCAACTTAAGTATGTAATAATGTTGGAAGATCCATAAGGATAATTGAATGGGCTCTTTGTGATTCCCTTTCCTTGACAGAAATGGATACCAATAAGCGACTATAAATGCTAGGCTATTTTGCTTAATTTTGATAAAATTTCTTCTCACCCTTTTTGAAGGAAATGTAAAATGGCCAGGAATTTTGCTTTAGTATAGTTATGCAGTATAAGGTAGTGCTCATTTAACCTGCAATCAATTATTGAGGTGCTTCATCTAAGCATATGAGCAAACTTAAGGTTGCCGATGGATGTATCAAAATCATTGGTTCATATAGCAAATAATTTTGGTTATCTGCCGCGTTGGGCAGTGCAACTGACATGTCATGCATGCTAATAATGCGCAATGCTATAGCTCCACTCTCATTGGTGAGCCTTTTCTTTAGGATAGGAGGTGAGAAGGAACAAAGAGGGAAATTTTGATCTTTTTCCTTCCGTGGTTTGTAGTAGTAGTGTTGAAGGAGGAACCAAATGTGTAAACATGCCATAGAAAGGTTGACCATTACGATCATTTCAGTCTTTTTCCTTCTTGATTCATTCTACATGCTTTCGATGTTATTCATGTTTTGGTCTGTGACCCATTAAGGTTGGCATATCTGTATGCATCATATGCATTTTGCTGTATTCAAGGACGTCAATGAAGAGCAATTAGGATCTGGGGAACTTATGGGAAGTATGATGATTTGAGGTCACACTACATCTGGCATGTATGCTTTAATGTTCCTTTCCTCTTTCTTTCTTTTTTCTTTCTTTTTCCTTTTTTTTTTTTTCCTTGTTTGGAGAGAGAGAGAGAGAGAGAGAGAGAGAGAGGGGGGGGGGGGAGCTGGTTATTCGTAGCATGCTGGTCATAAGATTTAGGTGGTAGTCGTAGCATGTTGTTCATGAGATTTTATTTCCTCATGCTCTGAGAAAGGGTGGATAATGGAAGTTATAAGGTTCTCTACACTTCCAAGAAGTGATCCAATTTGCTAGGCCAAAATAAGAAATGAAGTGACTTGCATGCTATAACCCGGTGACATTTTGGTGTCTTGACCCAAGAAATGATAACCAGGAGTTTGGAACTAACAGCTATATATATATTTAGTAAGAAGTTGGATGATAAATGTAAAGCCAAATCAGTATATGAATATTTCTACTCCGATGATTAGTGTAAAGCTTGGTTCAAATTTTTGATAATAGGGTGAATTTAAGTTCCTTGTCCATATTAGGCATGAAGACAGGTACCACACAAACCTGAGTAACTATGAATGTTCGTGAATGTGAGGAAAAGTAGCAAACTGAAGGCACCAGTTAAGAGGGAGGGTTATGTGGCGAGTCTAGCCAAATCAAAATTAAAGCTTATTTTTGTTGTGAATTCAAGTTTGTCGTGAAGTATCTTTCTAGTTTGGCTATTACGTAAGCGATAGAAAGACAGTGAAGTAGCTTTCTAGTTTGGCTATTACGAAAGCGATAGAAAGAAAATCGCATCTTAGCTTTAAATTGACATAAGAGTTAAGTAAATGACCTGGTAAAGTTTTCTGAGATGAGCTGAATACTCGACTAAAACTTGGAAAACATAATAGAGAAATCATAGGGTTTATACGAGAATTAGGCACGATTAATTAGGATAAGAAGGATTACTACAGCATTGTAGGTTGACTTTCTGTTTCATTTGCTAATCTAGGAACGAGCGAGAAGCAATGAGAGTTATGTGATTACACGTATATTTCTATGATACTTTTCTGTTCAATGCCTTGTTATTTCATTATTAGTGCTGTAATTTTTATGTAATACTGGCTAGACTAACATACTGAATATAAGTTCATAGTACTCCGTTGTTTTTTTACATGCTGTTGGTAGACCAACTCTTGGCTGTTGTGTCTATGGTATGCATACCGAGGGCCACGATACATATAAGGCATTTAATTCTAAATTGAAAGTCTCAAGTGACAGAATGTCAGCATATGAAAAGTAGCTATTTCTATTTCTTAGTGCTCCAATTTGCAAATGTCAGCAAACGGAAAGTAGCTAAAGGATCTAGATAATATTTACCCTGGATACCTGTCATCTGAATGCTTGTGTATTCTATTTGATATTTTTATTTCCTTTACTTTTCCCTATTAGATACTATGCCATAATTTCTTCAGTTCTTTTACTTTTTCTTGGTTAAAATTAGATTATGTCGCTATGCGTGGCGCAAGTGCATACTTTATTACATTTCATATTAAGTTTGATTTAGTAACTGCTGCTGCAGTTGATCTAACGTTGATGATCTTGCTAATTAATGACATACTATGTAATGTTGTTTTCACAGTTGAGAATCTGTTGCTTCTGGGATGCACATTAAAGTTTCAATGATTATCCATCTTGGGTACTCAAACCTCTAATTATGACACAATCCAACATGAAAATGGGTTGTGTGTTGGTTTTCATTAGGAATTTGGCTGTTTCTGTATCAATCAGGTCAAACCATGGAGCTGCCAAGGTGAGTGCTAGTGTCTGACGAGATGCACAGACACAAAGAAGTTGGTAGTTTGACTTTGTTTGTCCTGCTGTGATTGCCACGAATTTACTGTAAGAAATCTTCCCATGGTCATTGATGGCAGTTCATTAGCATAAAAGGATCCAATGTTGATTATTGGTTCTTAAACATTAGAAGATGTGTTACAGCCATTGCCATAAAGTTGGGTATTTTTTTGCTTGACACCCTTATAATGGTTCTGGAATTTTCCTTAATGCATCTTGGGCAAGAAAACGTGGCTTGCCAAAAATCGTAACCGATGCCTGCATGGCTTCCGGGTGGCATATTGAGATTAAATTCTGACGTAAACCAAAATGCGCTTTTGGTTGTGAAGGCACGTGCACACACGATAGCACATCTGACTTCATTTTTGAAAACACAATTAGGTTTCTGTTTGGGGAAGCTATATATGGAAACAAATCTTCTCATCTGTTTGGCAAAGTAGTTGAAATGATTACATGCCACTCTTAAAATTTGGCGTTGGACTTCTCCTTTTTTTTTTTTTTTTTTGTGTCAATATTCTATTGAATTATTTCCTCTTTAGCTTGTCAGGAAAGAGAAGGAAATGTTTTTTCAATCCTTTGGTGGAAATTTGTTACAAGGTGATATGCATTTGTTGTTTTTCTGTAGCAGCATGCTAAACTTTGATTTTCAAATATCTTTGAAGCATTTGTGTCATTACTTTACTGTTTGTGTAACGCTTTTGCCTTTTTTTTGAACTTGTTTAATAGTATCATAATTTTTATCTAGAGTTTTGATATGTATTATGCTTAGCTTATGCTTATGTAGAAAATGAATGTTTGCTTTGGCAATCTGCTAAATTTTGATGTTCGATTGTCTATCAATTATTTTTATGTTAATTGCCTGACCATGGTTTCTCTCAACCCTTATTGGTTAGTATGCAACTTGTTTTGGTTGTGATGGTATTATATTTCTATGTAGCGCCGGACATATGAACAATTACCTAGCTTTCTAAAACAAGAGTGCGTGAAATACTTGCTCACTTGTTTTTCTTTTGTCATGGTTTTTGGACCAGGGGACAAGTATTTAAAGCCAGTTGTAATACCAGAGCCCGAGATTACTATTACAAAAAGAGAACCAGAAGATGAGTGCTTAATTCTTGCTAGTGATGGCTTATGGGATGTCTTGTCAAGTGACTTGGCTTGTCAGGTAGCTCGTAAGTGCCTCCGAGAAGAAAATCTTCCTTTCAATGCTGCTGGGCCTCAGATCGAAAACGAAGGGGCTGGAGCATTGTATCCATCTCGAAGCATGTTGGCTGCTGCACTTCTTACTCGCCTTGCTTTAGGACGCAGAAGCTGTGACAACATCAGTGTCATTGTTGTTGATCTCAAGAGGAGCTGAGGGGTAAGATGGGGGATCATTCAATTTTGAACTGAACTCTGTAATCTCCTAGAAATCAACATGCACAGATAGGTTTTTATTGGAGAATAACATCTTTCCATCAATGCAAAGAATTAAATAGACTTTGGTATTTTCATTATGGTAAGGTACTAAGGTTTCATCCATAGAAGGAGATTTACTGCAAAATATGACTTTATTTTTGCTGCTTTGTTCATCCACAGAGTGCGCCTAAGCAGGCTGCTGCTCTTAAGCCTTGACTTCCATGACTTCAATTGCGAAGGGAAGGAATGATATTGCTTGATGCTCATGAGTGAAAGATACTCACTTTCTTATTGATGGTGCCTTGTATGCAAACAAACATGATTTCTGGTCATGTTGAATTGAAGCACAGGAAATAGTTTACAGATACTCGATGTAGCATCGTCTGTCCGGTTTCCAGGTCCTTGAGGATGTTGAACGGTGCGACTCGAAATGGAAATCTCCGTTGAACCAGTTTAACTGTTCTACCTGCCAATGTGTCTACTTGATTGTTGTGTGAAAGAATCCTTTAAGACCTCCCTTAATGGGAGGTCCTGAAGGATGGTTGCATTAAGTTTTACTCATGTTGGCCAACCGATTCTTCTCTGACATTAATCAATAGAGGACAGGAGGATCAAAATTCAAAATCTTCACGAAACATATCCTCTTCAATTCCTGGTTGGTATCTAGCCAAGAGACGAAAAGGTCCAGGACAGCTTATGAGGTTGATTTCCAGAGGCAATAAGTTGTTGGTAGTCGTTACAGGCATCTTCGTACGTCAGAGATGGGTCTCATATTACGAACTCCAGAAATGACAAAACTGTCTAGGAAGCCCAAATGATCAAAAAACATCGTCATGAACTATCGGTCAAACTAATAAAGATCCATAGCTTTTAAAAAATTTAATTTGACTATTATAATTTATATTTTGATAAATAATAATTTCCTCCAATCGTTTATTTGGTATTGACTGAAAACCTGAAAAAATGACACGTGACGGTCTTTATGCTATCTTTCCCATCTACTCTAACTAAAACTTTGGAATTGGGTTCGCAGGAAACCTGAAATATAAAACGCCTAACCCTAGAGCCATCCAAAATTTTGGTTGACCTTTGACATATAAATCACAAAAACACCCAGCTCCTCATTCTCTCCTTTGTTAGCAGCTCTCTACGTCTCCATTTTTTGTTTATCTCATGCAAATTATTTTTCAGATCATACGCCGAACAAATAATCCAAAAAACATATTACAAAACAATTAAACTAAAACCATTGGTTATTATTCATTATACTTGTTTGAAACATTGTTCATCTAGATCAGATTCAGATGCATTATTTCTTTCACTATATAATGAAATTTTTATAGTTTTTAAATATTTTTAAGACATTTATTATGAAATTTTTTATAACATTATACTTTGGTCTTTTTTTTTAAATATTATTTTTTTAGTCTATAAATATATATTTTTTTATTTTAGTTCCACTTTTTTGCTTTATTTTGGTCACTTTGGTCCTTGCTTTTTTTTTTCTCTGATTTTTTAATTAAAAATTTTAAGACAAAAAGATGTTTAGAAAAAATAATTCACAAAATAAATTTTTAGCTAAAAATGTGGATAGAGATAAATAAATAGTTTATTTTAATAAAAAATTATGAAAATATAAAGAATAATGAGTCAAATATAAAATTTTAATTAAAAAATAATAAAGTTGAATGAATTTTTATTTAATATATATTGATAGATGTATAGTATAACGAGAAACATTAAAATGAAATAAATTTTTAAAAATATTTTTAGGTATTTTATATGATCTACAGCGCAATGTGAGTAAAAAAATTAGTTTTTTTTATTAAAAAAAATTGTCACAGGATTTTTCCGGTGCCATTATTTCTAGACGTTTCGGGTTAGCAGAAGCGCAATAAGACAACCAAGTCCACCTGCTTATTACCAAAAATAAGAACTCTTGGCCCAGCTTAACAGCTCATAGTCAGAAATTCTCTCGAACCACAAGAATCTTTAAAAAAAACCCGAAATAAAACAATTCTGCAAACTCATGGGTGTATGAAGCAGAGTTTATGCATTTGTATGAAGCGGACAATATGCTAATAACATATTCAATTTCTACATGCATTTACAAGCATTAACGTATTTATAGTTTTTATGCATCGATACAATTAGCTCGGTATTAGTTCATATTAAACCATATGGTAATAAAATATTTAATTTTTATTATTTATGAATAAGTAGTTATAATTATTCTTTAATCTTATTAGATTTGAATTGATTTAACTTTAAAAATAATATAATAATTCATAAAAAATTAAGTATATTCTAACGTTGTTTTGGTCTACAAGATAAGAGATTTAATCTCGATTGATGTAAAAATTAATACGAAAATGCTCAACTAACTATTAATAAATTTTTTGAGGATGATTTAGTTATGAACATTATTCAAACTTATAAGGTTTAAATAAAAAGAATTAAAAAAAGGAAGAAAATTACTTTAATTATAATAATTAAGTATGGAATGGATGTTGTTATGAATCAATGTTGAGTCTTAGAGTCGGCAGTGGGGAGATATGGCAACGTGGTGCACGTGAGCAGAGTACAATCCCAATGGTCTCCACGTGACTTACGCTTTAATTGAATGGACCGTCAACATCTTCTTCCTTACTTTTTTGTTCTTTTTGGGTAAAGTACATAACTGCCACTATAGATTTACTAATATTCCACTTCTATACTTATAGTTTATAATTTTCCAATTCTACTCCTACTATTTCCATGAAGTTTCAATATTACCGATGTTTGTTAACAAATCATGCTTTCGTCCCTTTCTTTTATTTTATTGCAATTTTTCTTAAATTCTCATGCATACGAAAATAATAAATATTATAAAAATACTTGAAAAATAAAAGTAATAACGAAAAATACAAAAAGTGAGTCACTATTAGATTTTGTTAACTAGTTATTAATAGTTGGAGTGACCCGAAACTTTTAAAAAGTATGCAATGACATTTAACAAGTTTTAAACTTTAGGATCAAAGTGAAACCATGCTTTTGTCCCTTTCTTGTACTTTTTATTGTAATTTTTCTTAAATTCTCATACATAAGACAATAATAAATATTTTAAAAAATAAAAGTAAGAACGAAAACTTCAAAAGTGGGTCATTATTAGATTTTGTAACTAGTTAATAGTTGAAGTAACATGAAACTTTTGGAAAGTATAGGGGGGACATTTAAGAAGCTTTAAAATTTAGGATCAAAGTGAAACTTATCCGAATTTATAAGGATAAAAGTATAATTCTTTTCTTTTCTTTTCTTATGAATATATCTTTCCTTCGGTCTACTTGCCTATGCCCATTGAGAATTGTTTAAGCTAATCCACACATGGCTACTGAAATTTTTTTGAGAATATTGGTTTGCTGTCAATGATAATTTGATAGGAATTGGCTTCTTCTCAAATAAAGCACACTTTTTTAAACTTTTCTACGCTTTTCCATTAACGAATCTCTAAAAAAGAAAAACAAAACAAAGGAAAGGAAAATCTTATCTATAAAAGAGAATAATTTCACAGATTTCTTGTTCTAGACGTTGCTAGTTCTTCAAAATTAATTAATAATTCTAGAACCAAAAATTGTAACATTTTTTTTCCATTTTTTTAACGTATCACTTGATGATAAATTTGGTCCTGTATGCGACAAAAAAATCTTGAAATATTCTATAAAAAAAATGCCTGCTACGATTTATTTTAAGAATAATTCATTTTCTTTGAATTAAAATTTATTGCCTATCTCTTTTTCTCTGATTCCAAAATGGATCATGTCACCCATGGCTGCCCTCCTTTTTCCTTGTATCATTGCAATTGGCCAGTTCTTTTTAAAGCTTCAGTTTTTTTTTTTTTTTTTTTTTACCAAAAAGAAAGAATAAATTGGATGTTGAAAAAGCAAAGTAATTAGGTCAAAGCAATCCATTTGATCCATTTTATCATCTTCAAATTTGTAGGCTATTTTTTATACAGTACTCTTCTAAATTAAATAAAATTAAAATAATTTTCAAGTTGAATATTATACTGTATGACCTCCCTTTAAGAATTAGACCCCCATAAATTTTTATTGAACAAAGGTATGACCGTATGAATAGACTTTAGAGAAAGTTGCTTCTAACATAATCATTATAAACAAAAAATTGACTTTGATTTCCTATTCACATTTCCTAATTTTCCACTTATTGTGGATCATGTGTTGTCTACATAAAAAAAAAAAAAAAATCGAAGACAATAATAATATTTTCTTCCTTTAGAAAATATTGATAGCATACAAAGAAGTTTAACCTAACAATTATGTATTTAGTTAACTTTTTTAATGAAGTAATATTCAAATTTTAATAATTTTAAATTTTTTGACGATTATAGAATAGAAAAGACTATTCTGATTGTATAACCTAATAGTTTTATTAAGACTATGATATATATATATATATATATATATATATATATATATATATATATATATATATATATAATTTCAAAATGTGCAAAGTTGGACTCCGATGTTTTAAAAAAATCTGTAGCCAGCTTAGATTTCTGGACTAATCAATAATAAGTCACCATCAAATGACAAAACATGCAAGGAAAAACAGAAAATGTCAAACCTAATAGGAGAAAGAAACAAGGGTTGGTTCTTGGAATCCTACTTTATTGTGGGGGAAAGCAAAACCGTGTGAAAGAAGCACAAGTGTTTGAAATTGGAATAGGCAAACAAAGAAAAATTACCTACTCCACTTTCCTTTCTCTTCAATGGGTGACCTAAACATGGCTTTTTGCACCAAAATTACTTTCGATTGGTTAGTTTTCATCTCCCCTTAAGTCCTGTTTTGCTAAATTATCCCCATATCTTATCATTATTCTCCTCATTCGGCCCAATCAAGAAATTTTATAATATTTAAAATAATCATTAATATTTACAATACTTATTTTATGAATCTATTTTTAAGAAAAAGGATAGATATATAAAAAAAATTACATTCGAATCCATTAAAAATTATAATAAGATTTTCACTTTCGTTCAATTTTTTTAATTTTTTTCTCTTATTTTTTTCTTTTATATCTATCTCTTTTTATAAAATGAGTTTATAAAATAATTACTATACACGTCATTAATTAGATGAATTTCGCATACGTTGGTGTTATGATGGATTGGAATGGAAATAGCTTTGACATGATGACTCTAGGACTTGATTTGCTTCAGTAAACCTTCCCAGGCCATGCTTCAACAAATTCAAGAACAATGCATTCTATGATTTTTTTTTTAAAAAAAAACAGGAGACAATTAAGTCTTCAATTAGCAACAACAAAATTAATCCCTTCTAGGCTATTCTGTTAGCAATTTTTTTTTAGTCAAAATTCTAAATTTAAAAAGAACATATGGCATATATTGAATGGTTGAGATGTTTAATTATTAATGGTTCATATTAGGTGAATTAATAACGAAATTAAATAGAGGAAGTCTAAAATATTAAATTGAAATTAAATACAGAGTTGCGGGGGATCTTGATTGGTCTAGAGATGGCTCGAAATAATGGATTAAAAAAAATCGAACTTGAGATTGATTCTAAACTAGCCATTGACCTTCTGATTAATAAAGATCATTTCTCATCATGTTATAACTAGTTAACAATCTTCATTCGTGGGCTATTACATCGTTTTTGAGAAGTTCATATATATATATATATATATATATATATATATATATATATATATATATATATATATATATATATAGATGGAAAATAAATGTGCTGATTGGTTAGCATACAACAAGACAGCAACTCAGGAGATCCCAAAGTTTCATCTGTTTGGACCGACACTTCATGCGAGATAAAGTTTCACTAACAAATAGGAAAAAGGTAGAAAATGATAGCAAACCCTAACCCACCAAAAAGATCTCATAAGCCAATGTGTAAAAACAAACATACACATTGATATAACAGCTCAACGCTGCAAACACAACTCGTGAACCAGACCTCATTTCATATATTATTTTCCTCATCCAAAAAAAAAAAAAATTTTTTTTTTAATATTTTGTATATAGATTATAAAAATTATTAATTTTTTGATATCAGTATCTTTTAACATAATAATTAATAATATTTTTAATTTGTAATAATTTCTTTTAAGACGTAGATAATATTATTTTTTGACTAAATGTACTAATTTTTTTTTTAATTTTAATTCATTTGAAAATCAATTTCTGAACTTCTAATTTTCAGTTTGATTTCTTCTCAATTTTATTTTTGTTGAGATTTAGTCTATCTTATAGTAGTTAGTTATCACTCCATTTTCAAAAAAAATAATCTTTGGTATTTTGGACTGATGTTTTGCACATATATTGAAAAAAAAATCCAATCTATTTTTTTAAAAAAACATTAGAACTTTTCAAGGTTAGAAAATATTTATATTTATATTTTCTGAATGTTAAAATTGTAGAAAATTAATTGAGAAAATAAAAAATAATAAAAAATGATTTAAATTCTTTTGAAAAGTTCTAGATAAATCTCACAAAATGATTTTTTATTATAAAATTATTTATGTGACCATTATTTTTTAAAACAAACTGAAAGAAGAATAAAATCTAAAAAAAAATAATTTGGAAAAGTTAAAATTAAAAATTAAAAATCGCCTAACTGATTTTTAAATAAATTAAAATTGACAATTTTATTATTATTATTATTATTTTAAGGTTTGGACAACCTAGACCAATTTTCTGACAGTAAACTTTGAACTCGCCCTAAATTGGGGCTTAGAACATCCAAACTCCAAAGTGAAGAGAGAACATGAAAGAAAAGGTAAACAAAATCTAGTAAACAGAAAAACAAACCGAAAACAGAAGCCAAAAAGAAAACTCAAAAAAAGGTCCCATCATCTTCCAATGACAAAACCTTCCCTCTTCTTCATCGCCAAATCTTTCTAGTCCTTTTCTAACCACCACCATCACCACCATGCCATCACGCTTAATCCCTCCTTTACTCCCACCCCAAATTCCTCCTCCTCTCCCCTACCACCACCGCCGCTCTTCCAGCCTCATCACTCCCATCGCCGCTGCCACAACCGCCGCCTTCTCTTTCCTCCTCCTCTTTGTCATCTGCTTCCGAAAAATCACTCGTAAACGCACTGTCCCTACGGACTTCTCCAAACCCCCCACCGCTTCTCCTACACCACTCTCCGTCGCGCCACGAACAACTTCTCCCCTTCTCTTCGCTTAGGCCAAGGTGGGTTTGGCTCGGTTTATCATGGAACTCTCCCTAACGAGTTCAATGTTGCTGTTAAAGTTATGGACTCGGGTTCTCTCCAAGGGGAAAGAGAGTTCCAAAATGAGTTGCTTTTTGCTTCACAGCTTGATTCTTCTTATATTGTTACAGCAATTGGTTTTTCCTATGATAGGAAGCATCGTAGTTTGTTGTTAGTGTATGATCTTATGCAAAATGGGAACTTGCAGGATGCTTTACTTCACAGAAAATGTGTGGAGTTGGTTGATTGGAAGAAAAGATTTAGCATTGCTGTTGATATTGCTAAAGGGATTGAGTATCTTCATAGTTTGGATCCTCCTGTTATTCATGGAGATATTAAGCCTAGTAATATTTTGCTTGATCTGTGTTTTAATGCAAAGGTTGCTGATTTTGGATTAGCTTGGTTAAAAATAGATAATAGTAATCAGAATCAGAATGATCAGAATCAGTGTGATCAGAGTCAGTGTGAGATTAAGGTGGAAGAGAGTGATAAATCAAATGGTGGGTTGGAGTTGAAAAAGGCTGAATTGGAGAGTAATAATGGGGGCGAGGATTATGGATCTGTAGCGGAGGAGACTGAGAGTGTGACTACTGGGTTTGATGAGTTTAATTTGGGGGTGGATCAGTCCCCGGTTTGTATGACTTCACCGGAGACTTTGGAGGCTGTGAGTGCTTCTCCGGAGACTGGTGGTATGGGGGTTTTGCCAGAGGGGAATTTGGATGCGGTTAGTATTGAGGGTGGGGAAGAATTAGTTGATGGGGAGACAAGGAGTGGGAAAGGGATTAAGAGCGCATCTCGAAAGGATGGGTGGTTGAAGCAAGAAAATGGAGGTGCGACGGCGGAGAATAAGGGAGTGAAGGATTATGTTATGGAATGGATTGGAACTGAGATAAAGAAGGAGAGACCAAAAAGTGATTGGATTGGAGCTTCATCGTCATCGAATAGTCAGCCTGTTGGGAAAATAGATAAGAAGAAGAATCGAAAGAGATTGGATTGGTGGGTTTCATTAGATGATGATAAGGATGAGAAGGTTTTGAAGAAGGAGAAGAGAAGGCCGCCAAGGGAATGGTGGAAGGAGGAGTATTGTGAAGAGTTAGAAAAAAAGAAAAAGAAGAAGAAAAAGAAGAAGAGAGAAACGGGGATGACTAGTGATGATAATAATGGAGGAGAAGATTGGTGGCCAAGAGATGAGGAATTGTACAGTGAGAGAAAGAAGAAGAGGAGTAAGAGTAGAGGGAGCAGAGGCAGTCTTGAATGGTTTAGCGGTGAGCTATTTAGAGGTAACCGGAATAGTCATGATTCTTTGAGTGGAGAGATACCAAAGAGTGGTGGAATCAGTAGTACACCAAGCATGAGAGGAACTGTTTGTTATGTTGCCCCTGAGTATGGTGGTGGGGGGAATCTATCAGAGAAGTCTGATGTGTATAGCTTTGGAGTTTTATTGTTAGTTCTTATAGCTGGGAGGCGTCCACTTCAGGTTACTACCTCCCCGATGTCTGAATTTCAACGTGCTAATCTAATGCATTGGGCTCGCAATCTTGCTCGTGCTGGAAAGCTTCTTGATTTGGTTGATAAGTCTGTACAGTCTTTGGATCGGGAACAAGCTGCATTATGCATCACGGTTGCTCTTCTTTGTTTGCAAAAGTCACCTGCTCGCCGTCCTTCAATGAAGGAGGTTGTGGGGATGCTCACTGGAGAGTCACAGGCACCTCAATTACCCACTGAATTTTCTCCTTCACCTCCTACACGATTCCCTTTCAAGTCCAAGTCACATAAGAAGGTTCGGTAAGCTTTAATGTCCGAAACTGATCTAATTGAGCAACAATATATTGCTTAGATAATTGCTTGTGGATGATATCATTCTAGGTGTAAAGCAAAATGTTACCTTTAAATGAAATGAATTGAACTTGTTTCACTTGCCCCTGTTTATGCTGGTTTGGCCCTACCGATCCATTGCTAATATCATAATGTTCTCTAGTCATTATAGATTTGCAACAACAGGACCCCACTTCATTTTTTTCTTCAACAATGAGTTTCAGAAATGCCATTAGTACTTGATTAGCTTTCTGAATGTGGGCCGTGTTTTCAGTAATATGGCTATCTTAGTAACTTTAATCAGGTTCTTTGGATTCGTATAAGCAACTTATCCTTTTCCATGAATTTTAGCATCAGTAGTTGCCCCCTCGTTTCTGCCACTTTTTATAAGTTGGCTACGCAATTATATCCAAAGGTATTCATATAATGTAGCTTCAGCTATTGGTGCTGGAATCTCTATACATTTACAGGTGCTAACCATACCAGTATGCATTGCTTGGTGTTGGTAATGGTAATGAGGTCAATACACTGTTTGTACCATATATGGAGCACCTTATCAGTCAACTTAGTCACTTACAAAAGAACATAGGGAGAAGAAAAAGGAAACAATGAGTTTCAGAAATGCCATTAGTACCAAACTTCTAAGATGTGAGAACGTAGGAGCTCCGCTTGCTGGTGTTTAATTTGATGGTCTATGGTTCCTTATCATGCAGATGAGGACATTCAATCATCATTAGGTGTAGATTCTTTTATTTGTGCTGTTAATATGTATTATTATTTAGGCAGGCCTGAATTATCAGTCATGGAAGTTGATATGTTTGCTTTATTGGGTAATTGGTCAACAACTGCATTCAATATACCTTGCCCCAGAAGATGCGGATTTAACCACAAAGCATATGGGAGAAATGTGAGAGATTATCGGGTATTTAAATCCAAATCGCTACAGAAATCATGGTTGGAAAAACTTACATGGTCACCAAGGCAATTCTCCCTGCCTTCACAATGAGACTATCTTTCACTCTGTTCCATCAGCTATCAGAAGTTGAATTTGTTGATATACTCTCAACTGTCCTTCTGAAAGACGGTTTGCAGTTTTGAGAGATCGTTCTAGGCTTTTTATATTTTATAATCAGTGGCAGGTAAGGCAGATGTTGCTGGTTTCCGATCCCCATACGAGGACATGAATTTGATGATTTGTGAAGCCCCTGTAAAATTTGTGGCCCCTGTAAAATTTGTGGCCACAAAATGTTCCATTGCAGATGTAACCAGTGCTTCTTTTCTAGCATGGAGAGTTGGGACTGTGATGAGCTTCTCAAACACTACAGTCTCACTGCATGGTTTTCAATTTTCAGATTACAAGCTAGATGTATACATTAATGGGAAGGCTTGTAGCGGCATGACGATTCAATGATGATTTTCACTGCATGATTCACTTGTCAGATCACAGATATCAATTAGAGCTGTTTTCGAGTTTATGTTTTCGTGTGGTACTGTCTGACAAAAATCTCTAGGTTTAAGGATGCTATTGTTGACATTCCTGAATGTTGCATCCAAAAGGTATGTTATTTCCTGCAGTATTGCTGATATCGGTCTTGCCGGAATGTGTACCGGAACTGGAATTGTATTGAATTGTTCCTTTTTTGTTGATTGAATATGGTTTTATAACATTCAGACGTTCTTTACTTTCTTTTTCTGTCAAGCCGGTATTCTTGTGGTTGATGCTGTATGTTCGACTCATCCTCGTTTCTATTATTGGCCACAACCATCAAGATTTAGCAGCATACAGTTGTTTACTCTCCTCTTTGCGTGTTTCGGAGAACCGAAACTTGTGAAATCACTGTCATGGGGAGGAGCAAAGGTTGACCCTTGGATTACTGAACATTTTCTTGTTTGGTGCCATTAAAGCAGACACTCAAAACACTTAAACCCTAATAAGTTGGACAAGAAAAGAAGCATGTAATGTAATATTGGCCTTGCCCCTTCATTTATTAGCATTTGTATTGGGATAAAAGGACAAACCTTTCTTAAATTTTAGTTCATTTAAAAATCAGTTTTTGCAATTTGAATTTTGGGTTTTATCTCTGTTGATTTTTTTTTTATAGATTTAATCTGTTTAATAAATTTTAAATGTCAACGTAAAAAATTCAATTTTTGATATTTCAAGCTGAAATTTTGTGCATATGTTGAAAAAAATCCAATCTAATTTTTAAAAAAACCCAAATTTTTTCATGATCAGAAAGTATATATTTTTATTTTTTGACAATTAAAAATAAAAAAAATCATAAAAGATAGAAAATAACTCGAAATGATTTAAAGTTTTTTTGAGAGTTTCATATAAATTTTACTGAATAATTTTTGTCATCGAGTTATTTATGTGATTGTTATTTTTTTTATTTATAGAAACTAAAATATATGAAGTTTAGGAGAGATCAAATCTAAAATTAAAAGTTGAAAATAAAAAAACTAAATTGGAGGAGAGGGCTGATTCATTAGTTACATTGTTCCAGCTTTTGGCGAGATTTTATGCTGTTAGTTCCAATCCGGTTGTGTCAGTGGGCTGCACTTGTCCTCTGCTGCAAATGCCAACTGGGTAACATATGGGCTTCCTTGAGATGGGCTTTGAGGAATTTAATCAGAGAGAAACTTGGCCCAATAAAATAACCCAGTTAATACTGACAGTCCATCAGACAGATTGAGCGTGTTAGAGACGACAATTTAACCCTATCCGGTAGATATATGCTTCCGCAATGCTATTGAAAACGGGGCATAGAGGGATTTAATAGTTTTTATTTTTTATTTTTTTTAAAAGATAATTGTACTGTAAATATATTAATTTTTAATTTTTTTTAATTGAGTATATAATTTTTTGATTTGAGCTATTGATTTTTTAAAACTATCAATTAAATATATTTTTTTTCGTTGACGTGTCCGTTACTTCTATAATATCAAATTACAAATTTTTTTTTTTATCAATAGATTTTAATTTTTTCTATTTTGGTATATTTTTTCAAAACCGTGAATCAAATATTTATGTAAATTTTTTTGTTAAGCGATGAAGTATTCATTACTATCAAAATACTAAATTATAATTTTACCATCTTTTTACTAGGGGAAATTTTTTTCTTAAATTATTCTATCATTTCAAAATTTTACAAAGAATTAAAAAAAATATTAATTTTTAATTATAAAATCCTAGATAAAGTAAGTTAGGTGTTAAAAAAAAAACTCAATTAGGTCCAGGGGTAAAAATTGAAGAAAAACACAAACGTGTGATTTTTTTTTTTAATAAAAAAGATTCATTATTTGTGAGCATTTAGAGAGAAAGTTTTTTTTTCAATAAAAAAAGATAAAATTATAATTTGATAGTCTAGAGATAATGAACACGTCATCAAATAACGAAAAAATTGACGAAAATACTTCTTTAGTAGTTTTGAAAAAATTCAATATACTCAAACGAAAAAAATTAGAATTTAATATTCTGAGGATAAAGGACATATTATTAGTTAATGGATAAATTAATAGAATTATTTCATTGACAGTTTTAAAATACTCAAAATAAAAAAAAATTAAAATCCATGTATTCGATTGAAAAAAATTAAGAATTAATGTATTTATAGTATAATTATTCTATTAAAAATAGTATTGTTTTTATTTTATATTTTATATGTAAATTATTTTACTAAAAAAAATCCAACCCGGTTGAAAGCAAATATAATTCCATTAAAAACTATTTTTATATTATATTTTATGCGTAAATTATTTTACTATATATATATAATCCAATATAATTCCAGTAAAAACTCTTTTATTTTTTATTTTTTATGGTTTTGTTTCCCATGGAGACAAGTTTCCTTGATTCCTTTGAAATGGGAAAGATAAAAAGGCAAAAGAACTTCTTTTTTTGTTTTTTTTAATTAATTTTTTGTTTTAGAGTCCAAAATAACGCGTGCCGACTGCTAAGCCCAAAACGAATATTCAGAGCCAGCAAATCCTGAATCCATGATGCAAACCAAAAATTTAAATCTGAGTTGGTAAAAAAATCATAAAAAAATCTCCTTTTCTATTAATTTATAATCCAATAAAATCATTTGGCTATTTACTACTACTACTATTATTATCCTATGCTTCCTTATCTTTAATTTTCCCATTTGTTTGTCCTAATAACCAAATATTTAAGGATATCAAAACAGATTTTGTTTCTAATTTTTAACATTTTGCACAACTAAGCAACCTGTCTTAAAAAAAAAAAAAAAAAAAGACACAACAATAAAATACATTGAAATTAAGATTGTTTATAGTATTCTCTCAACAGTAGACTTACCCTCACCGTCCATTTGGTTGAGAAATAAACATATAGAGCAATCCAATGGTTGGTATTTCATATATATTTTTTAATAATCATTTGTAAAGTTTTATTTCTTAATGGCCCACCATTCTTCGACCAGCTTTTCCTCATAGGGTATGCTAAGCTCTACTGAGCATATCAGTAAAATACTTCTTTTGACTGATTATAAAATATGTTCAGTTTTTACCTGTTTTCTGACCTGGTTTTTCAAAGAACAAGCTTTTTATCAAACGTTTTTATTTTTAAAAATTGGACAAAAAACAGCATAGCTAGATCAAACAAAACATGAGTTATTCTCAATCACGTTTTATCAATTCTAATTTTTTTTTTCTAATAGAGTGGTCGATTATGTTTGGCCTTTTTTACATATCAATCAGCATCAATGAAAAACACACTATTTTCATGATTCTTTATCATTTTTTCCACTACATAGTTGGCAGCAGAATACTTGGCCATCGCATTTGCTTCTTTGGCTTTTTCGTCAAAACCCAAGAAGTAAATAAAATTGCAAATATTTAGAATCTTCAATAATGACCGTGTGATAGAGGCACCGTTGTCATCTATCTCTTTCACATTAGGTAGGGTGTGCGTAGGAATGACTAGATAGATTTTCATGCCAATTTTTTTCCCAACTCAGATGGGTCTTCGAAAATGACATTCACTTTACCATTGTAGCAATTTTGATATTATAGGAGGGAGCTTTCTTGCGCACTATCTTTATCGTAAAAACAATCTCTTACTTGTTTAACTTGTCATGAAATAAAAAATCTCAAGTTATAATATTTTTTCGTCGAATATCCAACGTTTCTATGATACTATATAAGGGTGAATACTGTTTGATTTAAATTGAAAAATCAAACCGAAATATAATTTCGATTTGATTTTTTATTCAAAATTAAAAGAAACAAATATATATATATTTTTTGGTTTTTCTATCAAGTTCGGTATATGAAAATTTTTGTTCAGTTTAAACCAAAAATTGATTTTTTTAATATATTTTTTAAGTTTTAAAACAATGCAAATAAACCAAAAAAATCAACACCTTAATATTATTATAGATATATAATGGATTGATAGTGTTTTTGGTCTATTTATATTATTTTAAAAAATTCAAAAAGATTTTAGTTTAAACCAAATATCAAAATTTTGATTTTCAAACAAAAAAACCAAGTAGTAATTTGGTTCGGATTTGGTTTTACTTTTGTAAGTTCGGTTGACTGAAAATCGAACTAAAATTGTTAAAAAAATTGAACTGAAAAATCAAATGATTATTCTTTATACTAATAATACTTGACATTTTCTTGATCTTTTTGGGATTTGATTTTCTTCAACTATAGGTGGGTAATAACTTGATGAGTCCGCCAACGGTCCAACAGAGCACGAGACCATGTCTATGGTGTAAGAGAAAGATGGTAGTGGATTTACTTTCTAGAGTGGTGATTCAACAACCGCCTCTTTTGTTCTTCCGTTGGATCGCTCATGTAGTTGGATGACGTTCGCCGAAGAACCCTTCTTAGTACTAATAATAACAAGGATAAAGTCATTTCTTTTAAAATGAAAATTACGAGTTGTTGGTTTGACAAATGCTTTCCACTAAGATAAAAAAAGTAGTCAAATTTAAATTTTTAAGATATAACATGTATTTCTTGTCATGCCTTAGATACATAGCTTAACAAATTCCTTCTCATCAAGTCCCTCTTTGATAGCGAGGGTACAATCTCTAAACCATTCAATGTATTCCAACTCACACATTTTAGAACTTTAACATTTTCTCCTCAAGTCAATTATGGTCACCTTCTCATTAGTCGAGAAAAAATTCTTAATAAATAACTTGCACATAGTTGTCCATGTCTAGACAAAGTTAGGGGTCGAGTTTATATACCAAGTGTATGCTTTCTTAGTAAAGAACTTGAAAAATTTCTTCGGTTTCGGATCATTATCTAAGCCATCAACACCCAAGGTCTCTACGAACTTCATGATATGCTTCTTTGTATCTTTTTATTTTCTATTGAAAACTTTAAACTTGAGACTCTCACAGTCATTACGATAAGGCCTCATGGTGATGT